GTTCATGTCAGGCTTTTGTCCACAATCCCAATTAGCAACTCATAAAGCTTATAAGGGAATAAACAGTTGGACATTGCTAAGCTTTCAAATATCGATATTACTCACAGTGATCAGCTTGTGGATTTGCCCTGGAGCTTGACCCTACACATTTCATGAACACAAAAGGGTCACTAACAGTTCAATCCGTTCTTTAATTCACATATTCCTCTTTAGGCTTTATTCTCATCTCGTTAACTCATTTACAATGCTCAATGCATGCCTAAGAGTGCTTCCAAGTGAAAGAGAACGGAAAATAGAACACAGAATGCAATTTCAGAATTTCAGAAAATAAGGTCCCCGCTCGAGCGTGGACTTCCCCGCTCGAGCGGACACTTAAGGCCTGCAAAAATACTGGTTACATCAAAATCACGCTCGGGCGTTAACTCTGCCGCTTGAGCGGATGGCCTGTCTACATGGCTCCTCGTTCGAGCGTCAACTTCCCCACTCGAGCGAGAACCATGTATGCAAAAAGTGCTGGGAGCACGATTTTCCCGCTCGAGCGACACTTAACTCGCTCGAGCGGACATCAAAAATCTGGGTTTTCCAGATTGAGTTCTTGAGCTCCAATTCGATTTTCAACCAACAAATCATGCATGTTATGGCTCAATTCTCAAATATAATTATACTAACATGATGTAAACCTTAAATCACAACCCAATGATGCTCAATTCACAAATAATTCACATGTATGCCCCAAAATATGTCAAACTCATTACCAACATGCTCAAATTCAAGCATTCAAGACTTACTCTCCCATAATTTGTACATTCATGTGGGAGATGCTCACCATTCTCAACTCATTTGGTGAAGAGGTGGTCAAAACATGAGTTTCCTTTAACATTTCACATGGATTATACATATTTGTGCTCAAACATGCAATTTTAAGGTAATTTCCTATATGCATGCACATATTAAGCTTTAATCCAACAAAATTAACCCAACTCATGCTCTTTCTCCTTGTTCAACTCTGAATTTACAAATAGCAAACAAGAATCCATGATTCAAGGGATAATTACTCACCTAGGAGCCTTAAACACCCAAGTTCTAGCCAAATCTTGAGCTTAATCTTCAAATTCCCAAGTCTTGAGCCCAAATTACACAAGTCTCTTCCTTTTTCTCTCTATAACCGGCCCTTCCTCTGGTTTTGAGTCCAAGGTCAGTCAAAATACAAGAAAGGAGGGAATTGGGATGTAATGCTCCTATCCAACAAATCCCACTAAGTCCCAATTTAAGAATATTAAACAATTTGAGCACAATACCATTAAATGAATCAATTTAATCTGACCAGAATCAATTTCTAATTAAATTTCACCATAGGCTCTAAAAATTATGCCAATCACAATGGCGTAATCAATTTCGGGTTCTGTGACCGATAAAGCCTTCAATTTAATTTTCAAAGCAGATTGTTCAAACAGATATTCCTACGGTGAACAGATAGAACTTCGAAATAACATATATTCACAAAATGGCACATAAAATCATATTAGACACATCATCATACTCATATTAAGGACCAATTAACGTATTACAGAACAGGGGTATCACACTAATATACTACGGAAAGCTATAAGAACAAAAGGAAAGCGATCAACTCAAACGGATTGGCGACTATATCCTAAACACATCAAATCTGTGAGTACTATTACATTATTATAAGCCCATATTTAGTTCATATCACATAAAAATAACCTAAAATAGTGTTGCAAAGTAACTAAAAAGAGCAAATATGAAAGAGTATAAAAGGATTACAACTACCCTATGGAAGGGTGGCTAGCCCTTCCACTTTTAACAAAGCTCAATCAAAATTTTAAGCCTAAAATAATTTTGAAAATCAGTGTATTTTGATAACAAATGAAGAGCAAAAGAGTAAAAGAAAAAGTGATGAAAGGAGTTCAAAGGTTAACCTCTTGGAAAGAGGAAGAGCTTCTTAGTTAGCAAATTTCAATCCAAACACCCTCAAGTATCTGAAAATAAGGTTCAAAATTTTAGTAAAAAGCTTCAAGTTTGAGCTTCAATGGTGTATCTATAGTGTATCTATTTTGCATGTCAAGAGAAAGAGCTTTGAAGAAACTCTTAGGCTTCTGAAACAATTCTCTAACCTTAAATTCTGAAGAGAGATGGTCAATTTATAGATTTTCAACCACTTCCCAACGGAAATATCTTTAAAAGTGGACAAGTGGCCAAATCCCGTGCATGGGAGCAACTTGTGCTGCAAATGCAAAATCTGACACTAAACATGGCCAGCCGGCCACTCAATTGTATGGTCGGCCCAAAGAAAATGGTCTTCTGGCCAATCAATTGGCCTGTTGTTTTCTGAGTGGTCAGGCTACAGAGAGAGAAAAAAAGGTTTTGGTCAAAAAGGAGCACAAGGTTTGGGTTTGAAGCTCGAAACCAAATTCCTTCGTTGAATATTCGAAAGATGCACAGCGTAACATTTTGTCATTGGGTGTTTGGAATGAAACGCTTAAGTCTTAAGGGCGGTCAAAATCGGGTGCCTACACATGGGTATTTCTTTTGTGTCACAGTATGGATTTTTTTGCTATTTATTTTATTTTTATTTTTTGTATTTTTTTTTTAATTCACCTGCACAAGACAATCTGCACACAAGAAAAAAAAAAATTAGTAACACTTGCACAAGAAAACTATATATATTAAAATAAAAAAATAAATTACAATTTGAAGCTCGAAACCAAATTCCTTCGTTGAATATTCGAAAGATGCACAGCGTAACATTTTGTCATTGGGTGTTTGGAATGAAACGCTTAAGTCTTAAGGGCGGTCAAAATCGGGTGCCTACACATGGGTATTTCTTTTGTGTCACAGTATGGATTTTTTTGCTATTTATTTTATTTTTATTTTTTGTATTTTTTTTTTAATTCACCTGCACAAGACAATCTGCACACAAGAAAAAAAAAAATAGTAACACTTGCACAAGAAAACTATATATATTAAAATAAAAAAATAAATTACAATAAAAATTACCTCTGAATTAGACAACTTATTTTTAGTTCTTGACAACGACGTCAAAAATTGATATGGTCGTTTACACATTAAAATATTTTATTTAAAATCAAGTAAAAACAACTACTCTATAGAATAGTGGTTAAAATCAGGTGTGATCCACATGGACTAATGATGAATGATTTAATTTAGAATTAGATTTGGTTACAAATATTTGGAGTGAAAATTAAATTAGTTAATTAAACAATTAATTACACAAAATGAAACAAATATCTTAAAATTTCGAATCCACCACTAGCCTCATAATTGAGAGTAATTGTATTCGGTCTTTAGAATACCATTGATGTGAATACTGTGATGTAAGTTGATTAGAAATAGATCATCAAGAGGATCTATATATCAAATCAAAAAATCATGAATCATTTTCGCTTAACATGAACCGTTACCACTAAACTATGGTTTGATATACGACCCATCCTACTATGTATGACTCGTCTAACAATTCTAATATACAACACTGAAAACTATTATGTAACATGATTTGAATAAAATATTTATTACACAAAAATATCTAAAAGTTAAACAACTATATCCAAATCAAATTAAAATTAAAAATACTAAATACAACTTATCCTAATTATTTGGTTAAAATTTTATCTTGATCCTAAGCAGAAAAATAATTTCAGACACTAATATTTACAAGCTAAATACTCACTTTTTTTTTTCCCTTAGGCCTCGTTTGGGAACAGGCTAATATAGTAACTTTTTGGCTATTTGGTTAAAATATGAGTTAAAAAAAACTAATATGTTTGGGAAGACTTTTTGATTTTTTATGAAAAGATGTATAAAAAATAGAGAAAAAAAAAGAATATTTAACTTTATGATATAAATTATTAACTTTTTAACTAATTTAATAATTTTTTAATTAAAAGGGAGGTTTTCCAAACGAAACCTTACCCCCACACCTCGTTTGTTTGTTTGTTTTTAACTTTCTTTTATGTATTTGCTTTTGTTTCTTTTTCTTTTCTTTTGTTCTTTCTTACCACTTTTGAATGCAAATTTCGAAAAGTGTATAGTGATTTATCGTACATTTTATAATATATTAATGTATAAAATATTTAAAAGATATTATTTACGGTAACTTATATACAAACACGTACAAACATATCACATCATATAAAATTACAAAATAATATATTAATAGATTAAATGTGTAATATTTAAGTTTTAATCAAGAATGAAATTCAAAATTTAAAGAGGTTGTTTGGAATATTCTAAATAAGTATACTTTTTAATTTTTTATAAAATATAAATTAGATATGGGTTGAGTTTGAAGTGATAGGGTAGAGAGGTGATGTGACTTAAATAAGATGATGTGACTTAAATAAGATAATGACTTTTTGACTTTTTAAATTTTTTAAGGGATAACAAACAAGGCCACTTTTTAATTTTTTATAAAATATAAATTAGATATGGGTTGAGTTTGAAGTGATAGGGTAGAGAGGTGATGCGACTTAAATAAGATGATGTGACTTAAATAAGATAATGACTGACTTTTTAAATTTTTTAAGGGATAACAAAATAGGCCTAAATGTATCACAATTAAAAAGTCAAAAATCAAAATGAAATCATTGCAAGTGACCATTATAATAATACAAAAATATTTAACAATCTTTTTATTATCTTTAGAATAATATTATATGTACTAATTGATATGTATTTTCATAACAATTTGCCCCCTGAGGTTTATATTTCATAACAAATTACCCCCTAATTTCTTATGCAAATATAGCATTCAGGGGGGAATTCGTAATTTCTCAAACCTCAGGGGCATCTGTAATTTAGCCAAACCTCAAGGGGTGTATATGTAATTTGTCCTTTATTTTTTTGTAAGGAATGGAGTCATAATTTTAAAAATAGTAATGTCATAATTATAATGATATATTAATTAGTATAGTGCGTGTAGCATTATAATATTCATCTCCAAACTTCTTTACACTCTTACGTACAAATTTCTCGGATTCCTTTTCTTTTCAATTCTTCCCCCCCTCTCTCTCTCTCTCTGTCTGTCTCTCTCTCTCAATCAAACCCATCAATGGCAGCAGTAGTCACAAATATCGGCATTGTCGACCACCAGTTACCGGAAGACACCCACAACCTCTACGACGTAACCCTGTTCACCGATCGAATCAAAACACTCGTCACTCGGTCTCCCTTCCTGGTTGACTCCTGGATCTCCGAAATCACAGCCATCCATCGACGCCGACTCCACCGCCTCATCGTCGGCCTCGACATCGAGTGGCGACCCAACGACCGTTACAGTGATAACCCCGCCGCCACTCTCCAACTCTGCGTGGGCCGCCGATGCCTCATCTTCCAACTCCTCTACTCCCCTGAAATCCCCCAATCCCTCATCGACTTCCTCAACAACCCTATCTACACTTTTGTGGGTGTGGGTATTAACAGCGATGTCGAGAAATTGATCGAGGATTATGGGTTGTCTGTGGCGACTACTGTTGATCTTCGCACCTTGGCGGCAGACTGCGGCATGACGGAGCTTCGCAATGCGGGGTTGAAGACCATGGCGAGAGAGGTTCTGGGGAAGGTGATTGAGAAGCCGCAGAGGATTACGAGGAGTAGGTGGGACAATGAGTGGCTCTACCCTGAACAGGTACAGTATGCTTGCATTGATGCTTTTCTTTCTTTTGAGATTGGAAGGTGTTTTAATGCATCTGAGTATTAGATATTGGAAGAGTATCGTGGTTTTTTTTTAGATTTGTAATCTGAATGGGGTTGGGGTTTGATGGAGATTTACTATGGTTTTGTTTATATTGGGATCTCTGTTTGATGGATTTGGATGGTGGGTTTTGTTTACTATATGATTTGCAATTTCGATATGTTTGATGATTACGTGATATGTTCTGTGCTTCTATCTTGCTGAGCAAGAACAGGATTGTTGATGCCTGTGTTGCATTGTACTAACATACAAATGGTCTCTTATTTCTGTCTTTAATTAGGGAAGTTTTTGTTTTTCTTAGTTACTAAAGTGGTGTTTGGCAAGTGGGTTGGGGCTAAAATAGCCACAAAAGACAAAACAGGCTATTTTAGCCACAACAAACAAAACATCACATCCAACCCATAATCATTACACTCTCCTCTCACAAAAAAAAGCCAAAAAGCCAAAAAGCCAAAAAGCCCTTCCCAAACCAAGCTTTTTAGCCCAGGCTAAAATAGCCAAAAAAAGCCAAAAAGCCAAAAAGCCAACCCACTTCCCAAACGGAGGCTAAATTATTTGTATAGCAACTCATCATGCCATGCCACGCCATACAATATATATTGATGGTAGTGTGGATCCCAAATTAAAAATCCGTAGTCGGATTGGTTCCGGATTGAACCCCATGGTTCTGGATTGAAACCGATTCGAACCGTATACAAATAGTCTATATTTTTATTATATATCATCCCCATAGTATCTTCTCTTAATTCTATATAAAATCTAAATTCAAACTTAAAACCGTATAATATCTTCTTTTATTATTCTTGTTTGTTGGTTTTTAGTTTTAATTTGTAATGGTTTAAATACTTATAGTGAAACCAATTTTCTTATGGTTGTTTAAATTTTAGAACAGTATGTCGCTATTATAGAAAAATATGTTGCTATTGTGGAACTAATATAGCGCTATGTTTATATTTTTATAAAATTAAAGTGTTATAAATATATTTTTGTTATTTAATTATGTGAATCCGTGGTTCTAAACCGATCCAATCCGTATTGAAATGGATTGGTTCGGATTGGTTCCATGATTTAAACGGATTGGGTTGATTCTAATTTTTTAGGAACCGTAGATAACGGATTGGTCCTGGTTTTATCCCAATTCGGTCCAATCCGGACCATGCTCACCCCTAACAAATATATCAAATCGCATGAAATTATAAAATAATATAATTAAGGCCTAGTTTGGGAAGACTAAATAAGTGCACTTTTTGACTTTTTATGAAATATGGGTTAGGTTTGGGTTGGGTTTGAAGTGATGTGTTAGAGAGGTGATGCGACTTAAATAAGATGATGTGACTTAAATAAGATAGTGACTTTTTGACTTTTTATCTTTTTTCAATCATGCCAAACTTGGCCTAAATAGATTAACAAAATGTATATTAGCTATTAATCAAGAATAAAATTTAAAATTAAATATATCATAATTAAAAAGTTAAATCATTGCAAGTGACCGTTATAATAATATAAAAAATCTTTTTATTATCTTTAAAATAATACTATATGTATTAATTGGTATATTAATTAATGTATTAACTAATAATGTGTCATAATTTTTGAGGTTTTGAATTTTATAATGGATGAAATCATAATTTTAAAATACAAATGTCATAACTATGTTGTTATATTTTAGGAGTAATGGTAGGGACCATAAAAAAAATATTATGAAATGTATCATGAATATTTTTCATCTTTTGATTAGTATGTGATGTTTTATTATATGTAAAAAATCTTTCATAATCATTTTTATGACATTTTTTTTTTGGGAGCTTTTTTGATAAATCCATTTTCTAAGAGTTTTATTCCATCCAACCCATATTCTTTTTAACTATTCCATTAGGTCCAATTTGAGATAAGAAGACCAAAATACCCTTTTCATCTACTTATGTTCCATTTAGTTCACATTATTATCTTATATTTCAATAAGTCCTATGGGTGACATAATTACCAAAATACCCCTAATGTGAATGTTCACACCGTCAATGTGAATGTTCATATCGTCAATGTGTAGGGGCACGGCCCATGTCGATCCTCGTAGGTGCCCGGAAAAATTCGAGTCGGGCCGGGCCGGCCCACAGGACAAAAAAATAGGCCCGGCCCGTTGATAATGTGAATATTCACATTGACAAGTTAACATTCATATTGATAGGAGTGTAAAATTGGCCTGTGGCCCGTGGGTGGCCCGTGGCCAGCCCGCCGCTCGGGGCGCGCTCGGGGCGGCCCGTTCATAATGTAAATATTCACATTGACATATTAATATTAACATTGATAAAAGTGTAAAATTAACCCGTGACCCGTGGGCAGCCCGAAGCCCGGGCTCGGCCCCGGGCCGGGCCGGGCCGTGAATATTCACATTGACATGTTAACATTCACATTGATAGGAGTGTAAAATTAGCCCGCGGCCTGTGGCCGGCCCAAACCCCGCCTGCGGCTCGTAGGCTGCCCTGGGCGAGCCCGGCTCGACCCGTTGATAATGCAAATATTCACATTGACATATTAACATTCACATTGATTAGAGTATAAAATTAGCCCGCGCCCCGTGGCTGCTCAAAACTAGCCCACGGCCCGTGGGAGGCCCGGGGCGGGCCCGGCCTGGCCTGTTGACAATGTGAATATCCGCATTGACATATTAATATTCACATTGATAAGAGTGTAAAATTGACTCGCGTCCCATGGGCGGCCCGGGGCGAGCCCGGTCCAGACCGTTGACAATGTGAATATTCACATTGACATATTAACATTCACATTGATAGGAGCGTAAAATTAGCCCGCGGCCTATGGCCGGCCCGAAACCCGCCCGCGACTCGTGGGCTGCCCTGGGCGGGCCCGGCCCGACCCGTTGATAATGTGAATATTCACATTGACATGTTAACATTCACATTGATAAGAGTATAAAATTAGCCCGCGCCCCGTGACTGTCCGAAACCAGCCCACGGCGCGTGGGCGGCCCAGGGCGGGCCCGACCCGACCTGTTGACAATGTGAATATTCACATTGACATGTTAACATTCACATTGATAAGAGTGTAAAATTGACTCGCGTCCCATGGGCAGCCCGAAGCCCGTGAGCGGCCCGGAGTGAGCCCGACCCGGCCCGTTGACAATGTGAATATTCACATTGACATATTAACATTCACATTGATAGGAGTGTAAAATTGGCCCGTAGCCCGTGGACGGCCCGAAGCCCGCCCGCTGCCCAGGACGGGCTCGGCCCGGCCCGTTGACAATGTAAATATTCACATTGACATATTAACATTAACATTGATAACAGTGTAAAATTGGCCCGTAACCCGTGGGCAGCCCGAAGCCCAGCCCCGGGCCGGGGCGGGCCCGGCCCGTTGACAACGTCAATATTCACATTGACATGTTAACATTTACATTGATAAAAGTATAACATTAACCCGTGCCCCGTGGCTGCCCGAAACCCGCCCACGGCCGGTGGGCGGCCCGAGACGGGCCCGGCCCGGCCTGTTGACAATGAGAATATTTACATTGACATGTTAACATTCACATTGATAAGAATGTAAAATTGACTCGCATCTCATGGGCGGCCCGGGTTTGGGGCCGGGCCTACCCCGGGCCGCCGGCGAGCTTCGGGCAGCGGACAAATTTTACACTCCTATCAATGTTAATGTTAACATGTCAATGTGAATATTCACATTGTCACGGGTCGGGCCAAGCCCGCCTCGAGCTGCGATATGGCTTCGGGCCGCCCACGGGCTGCGGGCCAATTTTACACACCTATCAATGTGAATGTTAACATGTCAATGTGAATATTCACATTGCCAACGCGCCGGGCCCGCCCCGGTCCGTGGTCGGGCTTCAGGCTGCCGACGGGTCACGGGCCAATTTTACATTCTTATCAATGTAAATGTTAACATGTCAATGTGAATATTCACATTGTCAACAGGCCGAGCCCGTCCCGGGCCGCCCACGGGCCGTGGGTGGGTTTCGGGCAACCACAGGGCGCGGGCTAATTTTACACTCCTATCAATGTGAATGTTAACATGTCAATGTGAATATTCACATTGTCACGGGTCGGACCAAGCCCGCCTCGGGCTTCGGGCCGCCCACGGGCTGCGGGCCAATTTTACACTCTTATCAATGTGAATGTTAACATGTCAATATGAATATAAATATTGTCAACGGGTCGAACCGGGCCTGCCCCGGGCCTCGGGCGGGCTTTTGGCCGCCCATGGGCCGTAGGTCAATTTTATACTCTTATCAATGTGAATGTTAACATGTCAATGTGAATATTCACATTGTCAACGGACCGAACTGGGCCCGCCCCGGGCCGCCCATGGGCCGCGGGCGAGTTTCGCGCCACCACGGGACGGGGGCCAATTTTACACTCCCATTAATGTAAGTTAACATGTCAATGTGAATATTCACATTGTCAGGGTCCGGCGGGTCCGGGCGCCTGGGCTGCTGGCCAATTTTATACTCTTATCAATGTGAATGTTAAAATGTCAATGTGAATATCTACATTGTCAACAGGTCGGGCCGGGCCCGCCCCGGGCGCCCATAGGCCGTGGGCGGGTTTCGAGACCACGAGGCGAGCTAATTTTACACCTATACATGAATGTTAACATGTCAATGTGAATATTCACATTGTCAACGCGCGGGCCGGGCGACCCTCCGGGGCCGCGGCGGGCTTTTGGCCGAGAGACGGGCTCGCTGGGCCAAAGTTTTATACTCTTATCAATGTGAATGTTAACATGTCAATGTGAATATTCACATTGTCAATGGGCTGGTTCGGGCCCGCTCGGGCCGCCCATGGGCTGCGAGCGGGTTTCGCGCCGCCACGGGACGCAGGCCAATTTTACACTCCTATTAATGTGAATGTTAATATGTCAATGTGAATATTCACATTGTCAACGGGCCGGGCCCACCCCGGCTCGCGGGCGAGTTTCGGGCCGCCCACGGGCCAATTTTACATTCCTACCAATGTGAATTTTAAAATATGAATATTCACATCATTAAATTGCTAATCGTTCAAAAATATTTATAAAGGTATCAAAATTGAATATAAGGGCATAAGTGTCCAAGAAAATAGTGTAAATCAAGAAAATGGACTTTATGGAATAAAACTATACATACATGGGACTAAATGGGTTAAAAAATTCCGTCATGAACTTCTTGGGTT